TAACGAAATCAAGAGAAAGAAGTCTTTTCCAGAATTGGGGTGATTGTTTGCAAATAGTCCACATATACTCCCCCCAGCTATGGGTTAATTATTCATATTACTATATTATTAACGAAAAAAAATTCTGGCTTTAAACTATCTGGAAAGAATTGATAAGCCATAGAAAACGAAAAACGAATCAATTAAAATCATATTTTCGGTGACCGATTGTCCTATACACATGTAATAGTACATGCACCAAAAAAAAAAAAAAAAAAAAAAAATCATGGATCGCACTATATATGCATTGGATTACCTCCTCCTAATTTTCGAAATTACTACTAGGGGACGCTGTCCAGACTATAAATATTCGGCGATATCTTTTCTCGCCCTCTTTTTCTTCGGCAATTAGTTGGAGATTCGTCTCCAGCTAAGCTAGTCGAACTGTCTGGGGAGGTAGACAGCTACCCGACCCCATTTTTACGGGATCTACGGAGAATTTTTGCCCAAGCCTACGGGCTCGGTTTTACCACGCATTAAAAAAAAAAAAAAAAAAAAAAAGGCCTTGTTCCACATCCTACCTCGCGGGTGGTGAGGTAAATAAACCTTTTCTCATTTTTTCCGCATATACGTCAACATGTAATTTTCTCGCGGAAGAAAGCGTTCACTTTTTGGAACACGCATGAACAATGCACACACACGTACGTACTTTTCACTTCATTTTTTTTCTCGGATTTTCTCCCACACGAATAGCATGCAACAATATTCTATTATTTATGTAACCCTTTATTGTTAAAACATCATTTATTTGTACATATATATTAGTCCTTGTTTCTTTACATTTTTTTTTGTTTTTGCGTGGACTCATATTCCGAGTCTTCCCTGTTGGTTGTGGGCATTTCATGGGGCAAACAAACGTGTTTATCTCTCGACGTGTACACCTTCCCACAACATATGAAGTCGTCTGATAAACGAATATCTACGATAATTGAAAGCGGCGATACTGCGTCTCAGAATTCAAATCGAGTATCATTATGTTAAGACATTGTTTACCGGCACATACACATTATGTGGGTCATTTCATGTCGAATTAGGTCGTTATTCATGTCAAGTAATTTTAAAATCATTTTTATTTTATTCCGTGACACCATTACCATGTTGGAATCGCTATGAATTGAGTGCGAAATCAGAAGGTTTTAGTTGCTAGCGTGATGAGTTTGAAAGCATGTTCTTCACATGAATCACAACAAATAAAAAGCATAGACGTAAAAGTCAAATAAAACTCAATGCAAAAAGGAACAAGAAACAACGGTGGATGTGCATTCAACTAGAAATTTATATACAATTTTTACAAATAGAGAAAAGGTTGTGTATTTATGTTATGCAAGTTGACGAAGTTTGCATCAAGGATAATGAATTTAAGTTCAGCAATGTACAATTGTTGAGAAAATGTTCACATTGTAATACCGATGGAAAATTTATCGAGAAGTAAATTTAAAAATAATGTATGTGAGATTTAAGTTGAATTTGTTAACCTTGTTCTGACAGAGTTGTTCACCCTGGACTGTATTTTCTTTTGTCTTATGCTAAAATTACAATTTCTGTTTCGTAGTTTAATTAACACTTTTTAAAGAAAGCTCTAATGGGGTTTAGAGAGAGATAGAAAGATGTTGGTAATTGAGTCAGGAGTTGACGCGTGAAAAGTTCTCAAGTCAAGATGTGGATCTGCGTGGAATCTCTCTGAAGGCGAATTACTGACTAGGGAATTGGACTGAAATTCGTCCTTTTACTTGTTTTGGGAAACCAAAGTAGGCTCCCAGTGACCATGGATACACATTCTGGGGTCGTCTCGACCAATAACAAGCCGAGTTTCACAATGTGTGGTGTTGATTGGTCAAAGCTAATTCTTATAGAAGAGTCTATTTTTAACGGGGGTGAGTAGACAAACATTGACGATTCTATAACCAGAATCAATCCAATTTAAAGCTGAATGAAGCCCTTAACTGTAATAATTACCCGCAGGAGATTTATTCAAATAACATGCAGATTTCCATCTATTTAAAACAAAATGAACTAAAACTTACTCCATTTGGATAATATATATTCCTTATCTTTGTTTCAAAGCACCTCAAAATTGTTATTTATTTATGTGTAAACGTATAAACGTGTAGCATTATGCTGGAACATGCTTTGCTCGTGATTAAACACAGTCAAAGAATTCGACCACACCAGAGGATTGACCTGGTCTCGCTCTCCAAATGCAGAAACACCTGTCCTTACACCTGCATATAGTTTTGCAAGCGTGGAGAAAGAATCATGATACAGTCAGTTATACAGGTTATGGCAGAAATACCTCCCACATTAGCGGCAATATCTTCATCTAGCTAATGTCTTACCTATAGACGTGGGGGGTATTTCTTGCGTATAAGCAATCTAGAAGTCATGTTCATAAACAAACTTAGTCGATTTATACTCCCTCCAGCCACCCAACCAGCATAAGCGCGCCAGTACAGATCCAAAAGAGGGCTCGGATCGCTTGCGAACATGTTTGTCAACACCAGTTACATCCGGGTTTCCCCGTTAGTAGCGAGACAGTTTGTTATGTCTAGACACAGGTCTCCCGGCAACTGATCAAGATGCCTCCTACCAATAAAAGCAACGGGAAATACTGCAGTCGGCAAAAGACTGTCTCGAAGTTGGTCACGTGGGCAATTTTGTTCATCATGCTACTGTGGTTTCTGAAGCAATGTTATTTTTGTTACCACCCGTCTATTTCCTCTC